AGCATCAGCATCAGCATCAGCATCATCACATCATCATCATCAACATCATCATCATCATCATCATCAGCATCATATCAGCATCAGCATCATCAGCATCATCATCATCATCATACATCATCATCCTCATCATCATCAACATCATCAGCATCATCATCATCCATCATCCTCCCCAATATAAAAAACCCCTCCTCCTCCTCCTACTCCTCCCCTTCCTCCTCCACTTCTACCTCCTCCTCCCCTCCTCCTCCTCCCTCCTCCCTCCTCCCTCCTCCCTCCTCCCTCCTCCCTCCTCCCTCCTCCCTCCTCCCTCCTCCTGCCTCCTCCCCCCTCCCCCCTTTTCTTATCAAGCTGCACCAAGTCGGTCGAAGCGATCGCCGCGTCTGCTGCCTTCTTCCTCCTCCTCCTCCCCCCCCACCCCTCCGGCCCTGCGACTTCCCCTCCCGCACGCCCGCCGCAAGCACCGACCGCGGCGGCCTGCGCGACCGTGCCCCCGCCTGTGCCCCCCGAGCCCCCTCTCGACGGCAGGCCCCAGCGGCCGGGGGCGGTCGGCTCCCGAGCCCCGGGCACTTCGCGTCGCAGCGGCCTCCGACGGGCTAGGGGGCGGAGGGGGGGGGGCGGGGAGGGGAGCGAAACGGGAGAGGGGGGAGGGGGGAAGCGGGAAAGGGGGAAGCGGGAAGGGAGGGGTAAGCGCGAAGGGATGAGAGGGGGAACGAACGAACGAGCGAACCACCACTGCGGACAGCTGTCGGGGCCTGTTCAAGGCCTGGTGGGGCAGGCCGTGGCCTCCTGAAACCTGTACGTATGGACTACACGCAAGCATGCATATGATTAGCGAGACAATTACTACGACGGTAAGACCCCACATGATAAGCTTTTTAGATTACCCTTAGCCCTTCCCCCGTCGCCCTAGCGGACATCCTCCTCTCGCCCTGAGCTCGGTTCTCTCCTCCTCGTCCTTATCCTCCTCCTTTTTTTCCTCCTCCTCCTCCTCCTCCTCTCTCCCTCCTCCTCCTCCTCCTCCTCCTCCTCCTCCTCCTCCTCCTCCCTCCTCCTCATCCTCCTCCTCCTCCTCCTCCTCCTCCTCTCCTCCTCCTCCTCCTCCTTTCTTTCTCCTCCTCCTGCTCCTCCTTCTCCACCTCCTCCTCACCATCGCCCCCCCTCCACCCCTTCGCCCCCTCCTCATCCTCCTCCTGCCGCTTCTCTACGTGCACCTCCCTTTCCCCGTGGTCGGGGCCAGCAAGTCGATTTTCGTCGGCGCCGTCGCCGCCTCGGCCAACGCGCGCGCGTTCGCACGGCTAGATCGCGAAGTCGTTGGGGCAGCCCCGCGGGCCACGCCTTTGGGACAACCCCGCGGGCCGCCATGGCGCGAGGCCAGGCCGTCGGGACAACCCCGCGAGCCACACCGCTAGGACAACCCCGCGGGCCTTTAGCTGCGCGCCGCGGCGCTCAAGCGGGAGGCAGCACGACGCCAAGATCCGCGGCGAGCTGCTCGGCCTCACCCCTGGAGGTCTTCGCTTTCTCATCGAACTTCTTGAGCGCCTCCCGCAAAGACACCGGCGGCCCGCGCTCCAGAAACTCGCGCGAGGGCGGCCGCGGGATCAGCACGTTCCGCACGCACGTGGCGCGGGAGAACATGACGTAGAGAGCCACCGCTGCTCGTCCGACATGCCTGCGCGGCCAGCGTCCTCGTCCCTCGCGCAGTCGATGGTGACGCCCTTGCGCAGCGTCTGGCCCTGCGACAGCGTGGAGGTCAAGTAGGACGCGCGCGTCAGGGTGAACCCCGTGCGGCGCACAACGTGCGTCCCCGAGCTCTGCCACGTGAGCTGCTGCTCGCTGGGCCTGAACATGAGCAAGCTCCTCGCCCGCGCCTCGGCCTCGCCGTCGTCGTCGGTGCCATCGGCGCCCTGTCGCAGCAGCTCGGCGACCTCCTTGTAGATCGGAGACTCTTTGAAGCCGTGGACCTGCAGCCAGATTCCCTCCGGTAGGTAGCGGGGGCGAAAGAGCTGGCCAGCCGAGCACTCCTCGTAGTCGCGCTCGTCGTCTGCGTGATACTCGAAGGACACGATGGTGGCGCGTTGCTCCTGCACGAGTCCCAACATATTATTAGTATTATTCGTCTTCTTCTTCTTTTTCTTTAGCTCCTCCTGTGCGGCCGTGAACCGAACCTCCATGCCGACGTGTGCCGGTAAGACGCCATGGGGAAGGGGAGGAGCGCGCGCGGAGAAGAAGCAGAGGAAGGACGAGGACGGGGAAGGGGTAGGGAGGGGGTGATGATGAGGAGGACGTGGAGAAGGAGGAGGAGGAGGAGAAATAGAAGGAGGGGGAGTAGTTGAGGGCATAACGGCGGGCGAGAGGAGAGTGTCCGTCAGGGCGAGGTGGAAAAGGGTAAGGGCAAGCAAAACAGACTCTCATGTGGGGCCCTTCCGTCGGAAAAAAAACACAGGTTGCCGATGACCCGCTCGGATTACCAACATGAAATGCGGGACCCATAGGGAGGGGGCTCCCGCCTGAGACTTCCTCACAATTCACTCACAGACGAGGCTCCCGCTTGACACTTCCTCCAAATTCAAGCCTGGGGAGCCCAAAAGTGACGACAGTTACAGGTTGCCGATGACCCGCTCGGATTACCAACATGACATGCGGGACCTATAGGGAGGGGGCTCCCGCCTGAGACTTCCTCACAATTCACTCACAGACGAGGCTCCCGCTTGATACTTTCTCCAAATTCAAGCCTGAGGAGCCCAAAAGTGACGACAGTTACAAGTTGCCGATGACCTGCTCGGATTACCAACATGAAGCGCGGGACCCATAGGGAGGGGGCTCCCGCCTGAGACTTCCTCGGATGACACTCACAGACGAGGCTCCCGCTTGATACTTCCTCCAAATTCAAACCTGAGGAGCCCAAAAATGACAACAGTTACAGGTTGCCGATGACCCGCTCGGATTACCAACATGACATGCGGGACCTATAGGGAGGGGGCTCCCGCCTGAGACCTCACAATTCACTCACAGACGAGGCTCCCGCTTGATACTTTCTCCACATTCAAACCTGAGGAGCCCAAGAGTGACGACAGTTACAGGTTGCCGATGACCTGCTCGGATTACCAACATGAAGCGCGGGACCCATAGGGAGGGGGCTCCCGCCTGAGACTTCATCGGGTGACATAAGCGAGTGACGGTGATGAGTGAGTGAGTGAGTGAGTGAGTGAGTGGGTGGGTGGGTGGGTGGGTGAGTGATGATGATGATCATGAGTGGTGATGAGTGCGATGATGATGATGATGATGATGATGATGATGATGATGATGATGATGATGATGATGATGATGATGATGATGATGATGATGATGATGATGATGATGATGATGATGATGGTGATGATGATGGTGATGGTGATGGTGATGGTGATGGTGATGGTGATGGTGATGGTGATGGTGATGGTGATGGTGATGGTGATGATGATGATGATGATGATGATGATGATGATGATGACGATGATGATGATAATGTTGATAATGATGATGAGAGGGAGAGTGTGAGAGAGGGGGGTGAGGAGGAGATCCTGCGCGGAGGGTGTCCAGAGAAAACAAGAAACCCACTTAGGATGTGGGGAAAAAATATGACGGAAGAGGGGAGGAGGGCGAGGAAGTCCTGGATGTGGACGCCGGCGTACCGTCGCCACGGATGGGAAGGGGGAGGGGGGGGGGCGGCGGATAGGGAAGCGGGAAGCGGGAAGCGGCAGGGGGCGGGGCGTGGCGGGAGAGGAGCCCCGCCCAGTCCCACCCCCTCCCCCACGACGTACAGCAGGGGCCCCGACCACAGCCACTGCTTTTCTTTTGTTGCCGCCCTCCAGCCAGCAGAATCAAAGCAGTGGTTGTGGTCATTTGCTTTAAGCTTGGCACCAGGGAAATGACCACAACCCCTGCTTCTTTTTTGGCCGGCTGGGAGTTGGCGCAAACAAGAAGCAGTGGCTGTGGTCATTTTCCAGTCCCGCAGTACAGCAGGGGCCCCGACCACAAGAAACCTCCCACAATAAACCCAACCCTGAGACCCCAGGACGTCCATGGACTTTTGGCGTGGGCACGTCGCGCTCTCCATGGCAGAACCATCGAAACCCAAGAAACCCAGGGCTCCCTGGAGGCAGGCAGGGTGTTTCTAGGCACGGGTCTGCACTGTAGCCAACGGAAGGCGCTCTCGCAAGGTCCAGCCTCCGACGGATGACGTGGCAAGAGGGGAACAGCACGGACATCACACGAGCGCGGGCGAAACTTCACGAAAAGATCCCTGCGCGGCGCTTCGGCGGGAGCATACCATGTAGCCTGTTTTGCGCACGGCCACATTTCCGAAGAGCGTGGCGAAAGCGAAGCATGCGCCGCGCCGAGACGAAGCTGCCACATTCGCGTAAAATCTGCGCGACGCTTGGATGAGAGCGGACTTTCCCCGGTCTCCCGCAGCCCCGTTGCCGCTTTCCCGCGACCAGGCGACCGACAAGCATGCGCCGCGAAGATGCGCAGCGCCGGGGCGAGGGCGACAGTTCGCCCGCTCGCGCACGGCCCGCACCCAACGACTCGACCAGTGAAACATCGGCGCCGCGCCGAAAGCGGAAGCGCCACTTCCTCGCGAACTCTGCGCGGCGCCGGGGCGAGAGCGACTTTGCCCGCTCGCGCGCCGACCATGCTGCCGGCGAGTAAAGTGCGCGCCGCGCCCAGACGGGAGTTCAGTTCTCCAGAAAATGAGCGCAACGCCGAGGCGAGAGCGTCGCTGCGCCTTTTCACACTCGATGTGTGCCCTTGTCCACTCTTGCCCCGGAGTTTGTGCAACGTCGACGAAACAACGAGCGCCACATTGATACTGGTTGATAGGAGCGAGCGTCCCATATTGGGTCGCTATAGGCTGGCTGGGTGGCAGAGCGGGAGTACAAACGAAGGAAAGAATAAAGAGGTGGAGGTGGAGGAAGAGGTGGTGAAGAGATGAAAGGGGGTAGAAGGACGAGAAGGTGGTCCAAAGCCTTCGAGTGCCTCCAGTCGCTCGTGGAACATAGCCAGTCGGAGGCCACGTCCTTGCCCTTCAGGCCCCGTGGCCAACTGCTCCGTCACGCCATCCACACCTCGGTGCAGAGTCCCCCTGACCACCCTTTGATCCTCTTCCTCGCACTCCCTAATCTCACCATACGCGTTTCAACCCTCCTTGTTGTGCTCCTCCTCCTCCTCCTCCTCCTCCTCCTCCTCCTTTGTCACTCCTGCTCCTCGATTTCCGCACCGCATCCCCATTCCCACATCCATCCTCAGCAGCATCACTTTCCTCATCGTAATCGCCGTCGTGATATTAATACTATTCGCCGCTGTTTCCCTTCCCAAATAATCACCATATATCATAATGCTCCGCGCATTTGTAATCCCCGCCCAAATCATCATCCCCAACCAAACCTTCATCATCGTCCTCATCCTTATCGGATTCATCCTCCCTCCCCAATGTTATTCCTTCTCCCTCCTGTCCCCTCGCCCCCGTTTATTGTCATCTGTCCTGCCTTCCGCGTCACGCCTCCCTCTCGTGTCCTCCCTCTTCCCTCAACTTCTCCTTCCCCCCCTACTCCATTATCCATCCTCTCTCCTTCCCCCCCTGACCATGCCCATGCCTCCCGCCTGGCTCAAAAATCTTGATAGTCAGCTGGCGTGGCAACTAAGAGGCACATGGCATCTGACCGTCGAGGATCACGTTGCTCATCTATGATAACTAGAATACTTATATGTAATATCAATCCAAAATACATACATACACGGATATACATATGTGTATATATTTGTGTGTGTGTGTGTGTATAAGCGCACCCCCCCCCAAGTACCCATTCTGCGCCTTCTTTCTTTCCACGAGGCTGGAGTCGTGCCGCTCCCCTCCTGTATCCCTCCCCTCTCCGCGACTATTAGTAGTATTATTAGTAGTAATAGTATTATTCGTCTTATTATTAGTATTATTACTATTATTATCATTATTAATGTTATTATTATTATGATTATTATTATTATGATTATTATTATTATGATTATTCGCTGAAGCCTTCCCCCGCATCCGCTAGCGGCGTATTTTCCACAAGCGCCAACGTGACAGATGCAAGCGTATGCTTCCTCTACATAGAGTGGGAACAAGCGTGTAAGCCATCTTGCAAACGAGATATCAGCAAACCCTTTGATTTCACTGGGATTCCTAAGGTTTGTGGGATGCTAATCAACGAAACCCTGCGATTTCACTAGGGCTCTTGGGATTCCTAGAGCAAACCTTGGGATCCCCAGGAAGTCTATGGCTCAGACCCCCAAGAATCCTAAGGAAATCACAAGGTTCGAGACGTCGGTGATGCGAAAACACTGTGGTTTCATTTGGATTTCTGGGGTTCCTGGGATGCAAATCAATGAAAACTCTGAATTTCATGAGGATTCATGCGGTTCCTGGGATTTCATCCCCTGGAGCAAAACCAAGTGTGGGATCCCCAGGAAGTCCAGGGCCCAGAATCCCAGGAATCCTGGTGAAATCACAAGGTTCGCGACGTCGGTGATGCGCAAAACCTGCGATCTCATTTTGGATCATTGGGATTCCTGGGATGCAAATCAACGAAACCTTCTGATTTCATTGGACTCGAAACCAGCGCTGGGCTGCCTCAGACCCCCCGCTGACCCCCGGAGAGGCCCCGGCCGAGATGGGCCGAGGCACCGCCCGAGGCCGCGGGGGCCCGCTGGGCCCCCGGCGCTTCTCTAGCAGGGCCAGCGCCTCGCCGCAGGCCGCGCTGAGCTCGCCGAGCCTCCTCGGCAGCGGGCCCGAGGAGGAGGAGGGGTCAGGAGGAGGAGGAGGAAGAGGAGGAGGAGGAAGAGGAGGAGGAGGGGAGTTGCCAAAGGAGAGAGGAGGAGAAGCAGGAGGAGGAGGAGGAGGAGGGAGGAGGAGGAGGAGGGGAGTTGCCAAAGGAGCGTTTTTTACTCGGCGTTTCGACATTGGGCGGAAGGGAGGGGGGGAGGGGGGGGCTCTTGCCTCCAGACACCTTCTTTGCGGCAGCGCGTCCATCATGGGGGAGGCGCCACCTGCCGGAAACAGGTGCCAAAAAACAGCCAAGATCCACTCCATGGGGGGAAGAACGGGGGTGTGCGAGGGCCCGCGCCGATCGGCAAAATAATGAATATAAAACTATCAGAAAAAAGGCGAAGGGAGAAGCACAAGTCGCCTGGAAGGAGAAGATGGGAGCATGAAGTGGGAAGACCTTTGACAGCAGATTGGGTTTCCGCCCGCCCCCCGACGAAGAAGGAGCAGGGGAAACCACCCGATTCCTGCAACAGGACGGCACCCAGAGTACACTGAGGTCTGGGGGACCCAAAATACCTGCCTTCAACGAACGATTTGTATCATTGGGCACGAAAGACGGATGTTCGTCCAAATCGCTCGTTGGAGGCGCAGATCCAAGAACTCCGCGCGCACCGCCGAAAGTTGATGTTTATGCCGGCTTACCTTCCTTCGGGTCCACGAACGATTTGGGTGAGATTCGGCGCGCGGACGGGGAGGGAAAAGGGCTGGGCGAGCTCCGTGGCCCACCTTCGCGCCTCGACAGCGGTCACAACGAGCACAACGATCACAACAATAACAACGATAACAACGATCACAACGGCAACGATCACAACGATACCAAAGACAACAACGACAACGATCAACGATAACAACAACAACGATAACAACGATGACAGCGATGACGAAAACAAGGATAACAACGATTACAACGGTGGCCCTCCGTCGCGCCTCGAGCTGCGGGAGGAGTCGCGAGGCGCGCTCCTCCTCGCGCTCTCGCGCGCCCGCCGCCTCCAGGGCCGCGCCGCGCGCAGCGCGGCCGCCTTCGCGCCCCCGAGGCTGGCCCAGGCAGGTGGCGACGTCCAGTCCCAGGCCGCCCTCGGGGGCCCCCGCCGGGCCTCGGAGCCGTCAGAGGTCGACGTGGGATGCAAACCTGGCCCTGTTGAAGGGTTCGGGGGGTCGGGCACCGCGCACCGAACAAGAGCAAGGCACCGCACGGGCCACGAGATCGAAGGTGCGACGAGAACAACGCATCCTCTTGCTTTCTGGGGGCAGGGGGCGGCCGTTGGGACAACCACGCGGGGGCATCCGAGCCCTACCCTCCTCCTCCTCCTCCTCCTCCTCCTCCTCCTCCTCCTCCTCCTCCTCCTCCTCCTCCTCCTCCTCCTCCTCCTGGGTCTCGCTGCCCGCCTCGTCCTTCCCATGGGTTCCCGTACTGGTGCACGGCGTGCCCATGAATCTCCCTTTTCTTGCATGTGCCCAAGCCATTTTGAAGTTGCTTTCCTGTGGGTTGCGGCCCTATCCCGAACTTGTAGTGTACGACATCGAACCTCTAGCCCGTGCGCGGTTGTCTGCAGCCAATCCACCCAAGGCTCTAGATCAGGATCTTCGCCAGATAAAGAATTGGATGCCGACGTCTTTGAAGATGCGTTTCGCGAAATTCCCTCCTTGACTAATTGTCGACGACGGCTGCCAAGAACCATCCGGGGCATCTTCCGCTGAACTCTGCGCATTCTGTCTGTCAGCTCTTGAGTTGATACCCAAGTGGCGCTTCCATATAGAAACACATTGGACACAGTAGCGCCAGAAAGCCGCAGGCGTGCACTGAGCGAATACCGCTCGTTGGTCAGCTCGTCTCTCTGTGCCATGAAGCTCTTCCGTGCCATGTTGATCCGGTGTTCGACTTCAACGTCATGTGGTCGATCGAAACTTACTTGCCTCCCAAGATACTTGACCTGGCCTTCGCACGGTACATCCTCAATGTTCACGTTGACAACCTTCACGTGAGAATATTTCGGCCGCCCTGCTCCCTAAGCTGCATTGGATGAGATCTTTGTTTTGCCAGGGTGGAGCAATAATCCTCGTTTCATCGCTGCTTCTTTCAAGTCGATGAGCATTTGCTTGAGCTGTCGAAGGGACGCCCCGGTCAGCGCCACATCGTCAGCGAAACGTAGGGAACTGTCGAAGGGACACCCCACCAACCATCGATTCTCCTGAAAAAGATAAGAAGCGGGGGTAGCGTTCGGATTTCGCCGCGTGTTCAACGCATTCCGAACCCGACCCCCGCCGCCCATCGAGTTGTCTGAACCGTTGACGGGCGAGGATAGGGTCAGGATTCCGCCGCCGAACGAGGAGAGCGAGGGCGGCGGGGAGCAGGGGGGGCAAGCGGCGAGGAGGGGGGGGCGGAAAGGCGATGATGTGGTTGTTCCACTCGGATCGTTTTCGGCCGTCTCGGACGGCACTTTCGCCACGGCGCCTGCCACACCTGCCCCCCCCCACACACACACACACACACACACACACACACACACACACACACACACACACACACACACACACACACACACACACACACACACACACGCGCACACACACACACACGCACACACACACACACACACACACACACACACACGCACACACGCACACTCAACGCAGATTGAATTCTAAATGTCAGCCAGCGTGGACCCGACATTGGATTATCGCACTCTCGATGCGCAACCTTTGTGATGCAGTTTCTGAAGGTAGCTGCGCGTGTGTTGCAATACTGTTGGACAACTTTTTTCTGGTCATACTGTGGATCGGCGGGGATGGGCGCAGCTTTCGTTTTGCGAAGCGGGGAAATCAAGGCAGGAAACTCTGATAAGAACGTCGTTGTTGGGAAGGCAAAATAGCGCGTGCCAGATGTCAGCGGCAAAGCGATCACTTGACAGCGGAGCGCGCGGCCATGTTCCTCACCTAGTCGCACGGCCGTGTTATAACACCCACACCTCGGCCATCCTCGGCCGAATGAAGCAACGGGTGAACATTTCATATATAAACCGAATTGGACAGGCGCTAACGCATGCGAAACTGAAAACTATGGGACGCCCTGCGGTGAATCGAAAAGCGCAATATAATTTAAGGCGTACCTGGTGCTGGTAGAAAGCGGCTGTGATTGTGGCGCAAACGCGCAGGGGCCGCCTGACACGCGAAAAATTGTCACTGCCCACAAAAAGTGCTACATCACGGAGAACACTTAACCTTGTCAAAATTGCGCATGGACGAACACCTGGACCTCAACTAATCCCGAGCACAAGTCCCCGCCAAAGCAGCGCGCGAGAATAGCCCAAAGATGGATCAAGCCAACACTCCGTAGCGGGCGCTGACTCATGCCTCCGGCTAACAATGCGTTGACTGGTACCTCGCATGCGCCTGGACATATCGCCCCTGCTAACTCATGTGGTTAGAGCGTGTGCAAGATACTCATGGGTTCTTACTTTGGTAAATGTGATGTCTCCTCGTCGCACCTTCTCCTGTAACCATAATCGACAACCCTCCACGCGCCTTCCAATCAACAATCCCAGTCCTGGCCAGCTCGCAATGGCGATGGCCGCACAAGCATCACTCTATAACACGATACCACAATCAATTTCGAAATACTTGAGAACTGCATATAGTCCCAACGCGACTGACCCACCTCTCACCACTCCGCAACTCTGCTTGTCCAGCAGATAGTGCCACAACACTCTGGGGTCGAAGCCCACTCTATCACAAACGAACCCCATATCACTGTTCCTCCACTTGCTAGTTCAAGTATTCTATTACATCTGGCATGGTCGGCATCAGTCCACGCCTCATCGGGGCACTCTAGATACAGATACTGATACCACCTGTCGTGGTTCGCGAGGTACTTGCCCGGCATCACGAGGCTTTACCATGCCCCGCGGGTCGCGGCCGACATAGAGCGCGCAAGCTCATTAACTCAAAACTGCATGCCCGAACGGCCCTGCGCAAGATAGTGGGCCCGAACCACCCTCTCCCCTGGCATCTCATATGTAACTGCGAATTGCCCCGGGCCTCATTCTCTAACAAAGATCGCACCATGTCTCTGACCCGCCTCATGCCATACCCCATCTTGGCTCCATCCCACAATTCGGCTGAGAATCCTGATCGCCTTGCAATATGTTGGCCATGGTCCTGGTACGCCTCTAGTATCAGCTTCAATGCTCATCTGGGTATATCCATCGAACCAGTCAAGGTCAACGTCGCTACCCAGTAAATTCAAATCGCCCTGAATGCACAAATATTAAGATTCACATGGCCTCGTGCACAAACACACGCGGCGATGCTTCCCCATCATCGAAACCGATATCACGCGCAAAAAGATGTAATACTATTCCAGTTGCTGGCTGCATCCCGAGTGCCGCACAAAGACTCCAGCAATTGTCCACGGACGCCTGCTTCGCGACCTTCCTCGGACAACCGCGCGACTGGCGCAAAGTATGCCCGCCAAACGTCTATAAACGCCAACTTCGGCCCTTTTCTCACGAACCCCGCGACTATGCCCCACCCCTTCTGCAACAGCCACGGAGAATAACTGGTTTGGGGCTTCCAACGGGGGCGCGGCTGCAAAGACGTTCTTTTCCTAGGACTTGCACTTCCCCGGTCGAGCCCCAAGCCAGGATCGACAATCAGGATAAGTCTCGCCCCCCTCGTCGACGTCAACACACCTCACGCCACTTGGGGCATTGCCAATAACTGCCCAGGACTCTTCCTCTTCTACTTTTTCGTAAACGTGATGTTCCCTAGATGACGTCGCCTCCTGACGCCGAGCCCTCAAAGCGACGTCTGGATCGAGCTCACTCCAGGACATCTCATCCCACGCCTGTACTTTTCCATGCTCGCGATAAACTACGCACGCGTCACCTCCAGCAACTGGTCGCACCCCGTTGCCACCCCCGCGCGCATCGCACGCCCACGGGACTTTTAACC